TCTTTCACAGCTCTCATCACCGAACATTTTTTGAGGAAAATGCATAGGATTTTCTTTTGTGTCTATTTATGTGCCACCGTTTTCGTATAGTAAATTTGGTTAATTACATGATTTAATTACAGTTACTGTTTCATTTAATTGTAATTTTATGTTTATTAAGTGTGGATGCACTCAGATGTTTACTGTGCAGAACGTATGAGTAACAAAAGTGAAGATGAATGTCCTTCTGGCCTTGTCACTGATATCTGCGATTGCTGTCTCGTTTGTGGAAAAGTAATTAATTTTTTAAAACTAAATTAATAATTAAAATATAATTTTGTGCGATTAAGAAATCATAATTACATTCTCCTTTATTTCTAGAGTGAAGATGAAGATTGTGAAGGATTTGGGAATCAATTGGGAACATGTGAAAATGAACTTTACTGTGAAAAAGCGAGCGAAATTTCATACAGTCCTGGAATTTTTAAAATAATCTAATTATTGAAAGATGCAAATTAATTATTGTAACACTACTATAAATTAAAATTTTCTTTCAAAATTTTAAAAAATTCGTGATTCTTTTCTTCTTGTTTTATTCATTTCATCATAATGTCACGTCAGTGTGATCTCTTACGTATGAACGGATCAACATGAACACTATGAGAATATTAACACCAATATTTTATAATAGACTGTACACATAAAGATATTTTCATGTGTTTATATTATGTACTATACATGTTTTATTAATGAAATTACAAGTTATCTGTTGAGTGAGTTGCTGTAAAGATTCAAATTTGTGTCAGAAACTCATTAACACGTCCTAAAGAATAGCCATGTATAAACAATTCAATAGAGTATACTATACATATAGAAAGGTCGAGTAGGGTGTAAGTAGAGTAAGTACAGTACTATCAATAGATTTCTTTAATTTTATTGTATAATTACAAATTTGTTAATCAGTATAAAATAACGTAACTTATAGCCATATTCAGTAATATATAGAATAAATTTCAGAAGGAAGGATAGTTACAAAAATCACTACCAGAGATTATCTGGTGCAGCCAACCTAGAGAAAACTGTATTTTAATACAGTAACATCCCGCTTAATGCTGATTCGATATAACGCCGTCTGCTCGAAGCCTAAAAAAAAGCTGAAAATTTACGCCGATTTAAATTATCGCGGCATTTTATTGATTCGTACATAATACGATTATTTTTCAGTGCTCCAAACAGATAGAAGTTACGTCACTATGTGACTTCCACCTCTTTGAAGACTTCCGGGGACAAATCAGTGAAAAGATTTTGTGGAATACAAATACAGATTGTGTAGAAAGACTTCAAACTGCGTATCTTGAAGCAACATTCCTGAGAATCATGGTATTTCAGCTCATCATGAATGATTTTGTATGCTGATTCATGTGTAATTTCAAAATTTCAAAGCCACTCCATCCACAGTTACACGCCGATTTTCTCGTATTAGGTCACCAACTGCTTGAACAGTATCGGTGTTCATGAAACTATGTGGCCATCTTAATCAGAAAGCATTTTTGTGGAAGGAAATGATACCGCTTCCGAATTTTTCAATCTATTTGAGCACTTATTTCTGTAAAAAAAAAAAAAACAATTTTTCTTGTAGCTCGGCAACATTTAACAATGAACATAGGTATATTTCAAGCCGTTTGCATGCAAGAATTTGCCTCAGCACACACAAATCAATTTTTGAGCAAAACCCAATTGATTTATTTTGGATGCTCGTTAGTTACAGCATATGACAACGAAACCTGTGTAAACCGGAATTGTACGTTTTTCCGTTTAGACAGGTTTTTGTTTTAGACAAGTTTACTGCAAATATAGTTAAACAAAGACTTTAGAACAAGATTTACGCATTAATAAAAGAAAATTCCGAAAATTTGTGCCATAATTGTTGTTTTGTTTGCTTAATAGAATTACCTCTTTCGAATTGTGTAGTGTGTAACAAAATATTCTATATACTCTTCACTATAACGAATTTACAAAATATTAGCAAAATTTTGTTTTCAGTTTAAAATTTATTAAAAATCATTTAGTTTTAAGATAAAATCTTTTTACAAATTCCATCAGTTGTCGCTGGTGATCCGTTTTCTGTATAACAATAAAGTCCTCTTCCACATCTACCTTTTAGATACGAAAACCCTCCACATAATTCGTTCTCGTTCTAAACCAATAATTAAAAAAAACTTGAATATTAGCATATTTTGTTAAATATTATATAGTTATAAACAAATTACCTTTCCACAAACGGCACAACAATTACAAGCGTCAATTACAATACCAACAGGACATTCTATTTCAGTTTTGTTATTGCAATCGTACGTTCCACACGGCAAACAGGTAAGTGAATTAACACTGTAAACAGTAAAAAGTGATGAATTATAAAGAATTTGTTTACTTTTAAACAGAAAAACAGTGTACAGTATATTTACCATATAAAGCTGGCTGTGAACAGGAGGAAAAGAATGGCAATGTTCATCTTCTGTAATAGAAATTTGTCTTGGAATAAACTGGACACAGTGTAAATTGTGGTCTATAAGTATAGAACTAAATTTCAAATTTAGTTGTCCTTAAATTGTGTGTGATGCTTACAGCTAAAAATCCCCACGGATAATGCACCTCAGATATTATAGGGAAAATGGAAAATTTAATTTGTAGTTTCAAAGATTTAGCAGGTAATTAAAGTACAAAGTAGATACTTGATACTATTTTCTACTAATACCATTTTCTATTACCATACAATAATAAATCCAGAAATCTTTGTAGGGGTGCAGAAAGAAAAAAGTATGCCTTAAGAAACTTTTTACTCTCTGAGGTACTCGGCTTCACTCGGGTATAACTGTTACAAAGAAATGACGCTGCGCCTGCTTACCCTCTAAATTCGTCCCTGATGCCATACGCAATAAGCAGAGTTATGTTACTCACAATTCTGCTTATTGCAACTTTTCGGAGTTTACCAATTTCAGAACTTAAAAACAATTTTAAAAACACATTGCTATAAAATACACGCACACATTGAAAGTGTTCCTAAATTATTAAACACATTAAAACATGAAGTATAAGAAATAAATTTTGGGGCTCATCTATGTTTGCGCTCTAGAAAAATCGTTTTTATGCATTCCTTTACAGGCACTGATATAAATTAACATTGTTTCTGATGAATTATATATTAATATATAATTATTAAATGTTAAGATTAAAAAGGAATTCATATATAGTTATACTTACTTTATTGCAGTTATATTCTTGAAATATTTTATGCAGAACTGCTTCAGATATTTTATAGTTTACTAGCTTATCTGTCGCGCATTGCTGCGATCTCAGAAGAAACGAAATTCAAGCAAACTCGTTATGATAAAATTAAATTTTCATTTTATCATTTTTATTGAAACTTATTATTATTATTCATTTTCATCGGGAAAACATTTCAAAGTGTCGTTTCAATTCTATTTATTTATTGAAGTGCTTTTGGATACACGATATTTTTTGTTTTTCCGTCTGGTGCGTACACGAATAGCCTAAATCAGAAGGTTTTCCGACGCGTGANTTTTTTTAATCAGAAAAAGTCATACGGAAAGCAGTTAAACAAGAAAAACTTTTCTAAATCATTTATTTTATGGTTAGGTATTATTATAATAATAGACAGATGTCATCATCTCTCGAAATACAATATCTTTCTTATTTCGCTGTTGATAGCCCGACACGTGTTCCGCAGCCATCTTGTATTTTCTTGCGCGCGTGGGATTTTGGGATCTCTCTTATGACTGGATCCATAGTTTCGAGCACGATCTATCGAGTCGATCGCGATTGAACCTCGTTTCAGTCGAGATTGAGACGGTCGATGGAGGTTGCACCAGGCGAACAGGGTATAAGGCTCTAGTTTAGCAGTGTTACAGAGTATAATACATATATTTTAATATATTTTTTAAAAGAAACAAAACCATTGAGAAATGTTACGTGTGTTTAATAACGGATTCGGAAAACTTTGAAAATGTTAACAACGGGTTCGGCCGAACCTGTGCGAACCCGCAGAATATCACCACTGTTTATAAAGAATTTGTTTACTTTTAAACAGAAAAACAATATATATTTACCATATAAAGCTGGCTGTGAACAGGAGGAAAAGAATGGCAACGTTTATCTTCTGTAATAGAAACTTGTCTTGGAATAAACTGTATACAGTATAAATATAGAACTAAATTTCAAATTTAGTTGTCCTTAAATTGTGTGATGCTTACAGCTAAAAATCCCCACGGATAATGCACCTCAGATATTATAGGGAAAATGGAAAGTTTAATTTGTAGTTTCAAAGATTTAGCAGGTAATTAAAGTACAAAGTAGATACGTGATATTATTTTCTACTAATACCATTTTCTATTACCATACGATAATAAATCCAGAAATCTTTGTAGGGGTGCAGAAAGAAAAAAGTATGCCTTAAGAAACTTTTTACTCTGTGAGGTACTCGGCTTCACTCGGGTATAACTGTTACAAAGAAATGCCGCTGCGCTTGCTTACCCTCTAAATTCGCTCCTGATGCCATATGCAATAAACAGAGTTATGTTACTCACAATTCTGCTTATTGCAACTTTTCGGAGTTTACCAATTTCAGAACTTAAAAACAATTTTAAAAACACATTGCTATAAAATACACGCACACATTGAAAGTGTTCCTAAATTATTAAACACATTAAAACATGAAGTATAAGAAATAAATTTTGGGGCTCATCTATGTTTGCGCTCTAGAAAAATCGTTTTTATGCATTCCTTTACAGGCACTGATATAAATTAACATTGTTTCTGATGAATTATATATTAATATATAATTATTAAATGTTAAGATTAAAAAGGAATTCATATATAGTTATACTTACTTTATTGCAGTTATATTCTTGAAATATTTTATGCAGAACTGCTTCAGATATTTTATAGTTTACTAGCTTATCTGTCGCGCATTGCTGCGATCTCAGAAGAAACGAAATTCAAGCAAACTCGTTATGATAAAATTAAATTTTCATTTTATCATTTTTATTGAAACTTATTATTATTATTCATTTTCATCGGGAAAACATTTCAAAGTGTCGTTTCAATTCTATTTATTTATTGAAGTGCTTTTGGATACACGATATTTTTTGTTTTTCCGTCTGGTGCGTACACGAATAGCCTAAATCAGAAGGTTTTCCGACGCGTGAACCGGCCACATAGTTGTCCATGCGAGAAGCACGAATTCTCCAAATTTAACCCACACACTCACAGCGATTGTCAGAAGTGCGATATTTATCATTTTTATATATTTTTTAAAATACTTTATAATTTTCATTATTTAATTGCTCCTTCCTCTCTTCCTTGGCATGTTGTGAAATTTCTAATAGTTGGATAATAAACCGTTTTATTGTAATTTGTCTTTTTAACTTATTTTGAGTTGATATTAAAATTTGAAAAAGGGGGGATACCTAGATCGGTAAAATACGCGAATTTCTTCCTACAACTTCGGTTGTTGTTCGGGGTACAGTTAAGGTTTTAACGAAGTTCGAGCGAATACGTAATTAGCAAAAAAAAAAGTTGAAATAAAGTGATTAAACAAAAATTATTACAAATATCGTAAATAACAAATGCATATATAGAGATATTTTTTGAAAGGGGTAATGGTCTTCACAATTTGAAATGGATCGAACACACTGTGCGCGAATGCTCGTGTAAACGCGCACCATCTATCGTAGGATAAATGCCAGAAACCTTCGCGGGAGTGTATTAAAAAACTTCCCAAAGTTTCGTGGCAATCGTACTATGCCACAAACCTTCGCTGGAGTATATTAAACAACTTCCCAAAGTTTCACGGCAATCGGATAAACGGTGTGGTAATGCATGAAGGACACACACACACACAGACAGACAACCATACATTCATTTTTATATATATAGATTTTAATCGCCGTTGAATAAGGAATGTTTCTTTCACACGAAATGTATAAAAT